GAGAGAGAGAGAGAGAGAGAGAGAGAGAGAGAGAGAGAGAGAGAGAGAGAGAGAGAGAGAGAGAGAGAGAGAGAGAGAGAGAAAGGAAGAGCTGGAGATGGGGAACCTCACCGACGGGCCTGGGTATTGTGCAAAGTTGCCCACCTGTTATGGAGGGCAAACCGGGTAAAACAGGGTGCAGGCCCAGGCCCCAACGACGCGGTCCAGATTGCAAATTTGCACATGGGCCTGACAGGGGAGAAAAAGAAAGAATTAGGCCCGAAGGGCATTCCGCTCTACCCAGATCTTTGACGGGCATCTTGGCATATATCTCAACTTATAGGGGTATTTCACAAATTATCCCCTTTTTTAAATCGTCATTCAATTTGAGCTGACCGGCCCCAGGTATTGAATCTGGATACGAACTTGGGACTGTATTCTAGCAATTACACTCTTCTGTTTATCTGAGTGCATCTGGAAACGAACTTGGGATTGTATTCCAGCAATTTGTGGGTGTACCAACTGCGCTAGGCCAGTTGGTGAAAGAGGCCCTTTTCAGGAAGGGGTTTGGGTGAAGTCGCCGAACCCGACATGTGGCGCGAGGACTATTATTTCCATTATGGGAAAAATCATAAAATCTCCCCGCGAAGAAACCCCCCAAACGAGAAAAAAAAAGTGCGGCAGGTCCCAAAGTCACGTTTGGTGTCATTTTTTTTTTCGCACCCCGGCTGGGCCGGTAATTGCAGGAAGCAAAAGTAACCCCGAAAGTGATTTTGGGGTCTTCGGGTCGCCACACAGCCTGTCGAAACGCGAAAACGACAAAAATGTGGCAGGTGCATCTGGCCATGTTCTAGCGTGAAGTTCATTCTCGTTTTGCACATTTCGACAGCCTGTGTGGCGAGGCCCTACTGCACCATTTTGGGGGAAAATGGATACGAAGGTTTCGTCGCGGGCAGGTTTCACGACTTTTCCCAACTACTATACATTATGTGAACCCCAACCAGGCAACTACTATATATTATGGGCTCTCACTTCAATTCAGGAACGCGGCAGCAGAGTGCTTCTTGGCTGACAGTGTGCCGTTCATGAGGGGGCATTACATCACATGCGCAAGAGTTCGTCGACTGCCGTACAGCTGAGAGACGACAGGTGAGCGAGGAGTGTCCACCCTCTCCTTTCTGGCCACACCATACAGCTCACGAAAGGAGAAACTTTAGGGATGGCGAGTGCATGTACGTTCACTGAGAAGGTGAAAAGGTGCATCCATTGCTATTCATTCATAGTAACGAATGTATCTTCCCACTTTCTGCGTGAAGATGCGCTCGACATCGTTCTGTTTTCTCGTCAGGGATGAGTGGTTACAGCTTGCTATGCTTTAGGTTTTTTCACCCCATTGTTGCTGGCTGATCAAGGTTGTCGCCGGGCGGCGGGCAGACCGCAGCGGGGGCAAATCTTTTGGAATGCGAAGCAGGACCTTTTTTTTTTTTAATAGGTTTTTTTTAATAATAATAATAATAGCAGTGAAAGCCCGAAAGAAGATTGCTGGTGTTGTGCTCTATGATCTTGTTTTTTTTGTTTTCTTTTTTGAAGTTTCTTCATTTTTGTTCCTTAAGTTAAGCCCTTGAGATTTCATTATATCCATCTGATTTGTAATCGATGCATGCCATGTCTATCAATATTCCTCACAATCTCTTACCGTTAGTTGAAAAAGAGAACTGAAAAAGGAATAATATCATGTCTGGGATGCCTATAGATATGTTTATCTCCCGAGCTTCCTCACTGGATGATTGTCCGTCTGTGCTTTTGCGCGCGATCGCGCTCTCGTGTGTGTGTGTGTGTGTGTGTGTGTGTGGGTGTTTTTGTTTGTGGGTGGGTGTGTTTGTTTGTGTCTGCGTCTATCTGTATGTGTGTGTGTTTGTGTGCCTGCGTTTGCGCGCGGGCGCGCGCGCGCGCGCGCGTGTGCGTGTGTGTGTGTGTGTGTGTGTGTGTGTGTGTGTGTGTGTGTGTGTTTTTGTTTGTGTGTGTGTGTGTGTGTGTGTGTGTGTGCGCGTGCGTTTGCGTGTGTGTGTGTGACACTGAGAGACACTGACACACACACACACACACACACACACACACACACACACAGAGAGAGAGAGAGAGAGAGAGAGAGAGAGAGAGAGAGAGAGAGAGAGAGAGAGAGAGAGAGAGAGAGGGCATGTATGTCTGTCTGTGTCGCCTGTCTCGGCAGATGTCTTTGATGTTTCTACATAAATTACTGATGCCAATTTTTTCTCCCAGACTGGTTGTGTGCATGTCATCTTTTTCCTTTTTATTCTTCCGGTTAGAATAGAATTGCCGATTTGCATTAAAGCTTTGTCTGTCCTCCTAGTCAGGACTTGGTTCCATTCTGCACTGCGATGAGTATGTGGCACACGTGTCGGCCCGCGGCAGTGCACGACACACCAGTGACACGTAAGAGTGCGATGCTTACGGCTGCAAGCTGTCGAGTGTTAGATTAACAGCGTACATGCACGTGTCGGCATGCAAGGCATGCCATGTCAGAGTGCAATGATTACGGCTGTGTACTGTCAAGTGTTAGAGTAGCGTGGCACAGGTGTCAGCCTGCAGTGCATGACACGTCAAAGAGTTAAGTTTCCAAGTGGCTGCTTTTGAAGCAGCCTCAAGCAGGTACGCATCTGAGCCGGTGGCGGATGATGCATTAGGATGGGCTTGTTTTTTGGCTTTCATTGGGGTCATTCTTGAAGCACCAGAAATGTGAGTTGTTGGTACTTCGGGAATCATTATGACAAAAAAAAAGGAAAAAAAGAAAGAAAAGGAAAGAAGGATAAGAAGAAGAAGAAGAAGAAGAAGAAGAAGAAGAAGAAGAAGAAATGTGCGTTTTTATGTCCTTCACGCATATCAGGAGAGCCAGGTACTCATTCCTGAGCCACACTCGTGATGCCGTCTTTACGGACCGGACACCCGCCAACAACAAAAAAGAAAATGATCCTGTTTTGTTTCTTTTCCAAAATAGTTGGACTGAATTTTAAGATAGACATCGGATTGGCCGAGTGCCGAGCCGAAGGTTACTCTCACCTGTCTATGATCCGGCCTCTACAACCACCTGGACGTTTCTGGGAAAAAAAAAAAAAAAAAAAAAAAAAAAAGATCAGATTCTGACGCTAATTCTACTATGCTACTGTTGTTAACGGCTACCACCTCTGGGACTATCCCGGCCTGGCGGACCTGGGTCCTGAACCAACTGACACTCTGAGACTGTCCTAGAGAGCCCACTGTGACCCTAAGAAACCGAGTGTCCCGGTTTAGGGGGAGGCACTCTGGTTAACTGCAAACCTCTGAGGGAGCGAGTGACATATTAGACTATGATCCTATAATTACCGGAGCTGTAATTTACTTATCTACCCCTTTGTGCGCTACCCTATAATTGCTCAGCTCCCTAAGCCATGGAGGAAAAAACACCAGTTCAAAAGTCCTTTGCACTGCCAGTACCTTCTTCACCGGAATAGAACGCCCGGTCATTATTTCTGCTGCCTCAGAGTGTTTCCTGCAGCAATCATGACCGGGCGTTGTGTTCCTGCCCGGTCATGCCTCAGAAACCAGCGCCTCAGAGTCTGTTTCCTGCTGCCCTCTCCAGCCCTTACACCTTTCTTCCGCATAATTATTATGGCCGCCCTTTCCAGCCCTGACACCTTTCCCTATTGACGGCCTGTTTCAGTCCTGGACTCCTTGGCTAATTTTTCTCAGATTCTGTCATTATAATGTGACAGTGCGACTTGTGTCAAACGAATCTGTACTTGATTTGTTTCTGTCCGTCCAGATGATCTCGCAGATGATCCCTCTGGCCACATGTGCATTTAATAGCTCCAGCCAAGCTTCCCAGTGGAATCCGCTGATCCCGAATTCTTGATTTCTGACCGTCCATTCTGAAGATCAACGACCAGAAATGAAGAATTCAGCCAAGTGGGACTTGGCCCCCCGTGGAATCGGCTGATCCCAGCAGGACCCATTGTTCATTCCATTCTATCCCTTCACCGCACCCAATGCATGGCTTTCCAACGTGACTCCCACCATCTCCAGATCCTCTCTGATGCAGGCCACTCCCGCAGTAGGTGCCTTGTGGACTCAAAAGGCCAATAATTGCACGGACACGGACTGCAGCGTATTTCCATTCCCATTCCCATTCCGCTGCTGATTAACCAATGCATGACATTGCGGCCGAAAGGGTTGCCACCATGGAAAGCCTCCAAGCCTGCAAGCCCCACCGAGGGGGGGAAAAAAAGGGGGTAAGTTGAACTACGGCGCAGTCACGAAAACAGTTTGAAACAATGCACTTCAGGGCAATCCCGCGGGGACAACACACCCCCATGTGGTCCCCACCGGACACGAAACCTACTACTAGGTTGCATACATTCAGCATTTATTTACCGGCCCTTTTGCCTCAATCAAGTGCAGTTTCAAACCCAAACCGTGACTGCACCCTAGTTTTCTACCAAAAAAAAAAAAAAAAAAAAAAAAAAAAACTAATAACAGGCGCTCTTTCTTTTTAGATAAGATAGGCTTTGGCGGCCGACTGTTCGTAACTGTGCCTCTCACATACGGAAGGGATGCGAGACACCACTCATCATTTCATAAAACCAAGAAGGATCGCTGCCCCTGTGACAGCAAACGAAAAAAAAAAGTAAATACTCCTGGGTTGGCACGCCCTGTGCCAAACAAAACAAGAAGAACCGGCACGACGAGACTCCTTTTCGATGGCACCGCCAACCATTTTGCTCCCGAGATTTTGCTCCCGAGTCGGAAGTTGGAAGTTGTTGTGCCGGTATACATGCCGCATGCTTCATCTCTTTTTTTTCTTTCCTTCTTTCTTTNNNNTTTTTTTTTTTTTTTTTTTTTTTTTTTATCTCATTTCAGTTCATCCGACTAGAAACGTTTCTACTCTGTTCTTTTCCCATCATGATGGCCGATAGGGGGGCCAAGTACTGGTGGTTAAACCGTGGTTTAAGTTAACGTCAGGGGAATTGTTGGCTCAAGGTAACTTCAGCGGAGCTGTAGTTACTGTACCCTCGGCGAACTTAAAGTTGAACTTTAGTTACTGTAGTAACTGTGTAATTCTGGAGGTCGTTTTTGAAATAACAGCGGGCGAGGCATGTTTTAAAAGCCTAAAGGCAAAAGAAACTAGCGCGCCGGCGGGCGGGGGCAAAGAAACAACGCGTTGGGTCGAAATGAGCAAATTTGCTCCAAGAGTATCACTTGGGCTTTTTTTTCTTTTGCTTTTTTTTCCCTTGTTTCCCCATGGGACAAGACGGCCGACCCCTCCTCTGAACATGACACCCGGTCTGACACCATCATGATGGCTGTGGGCTCTGACAACATGGCCGACCTCTGTAAATATGACACCCGGTCTGACACCATGGCCATTGGTACTTTCGTTGCCCTTTTCAAAGTAGGTGCGGTTTTCTTCGCCGATGCAGGTTTTTTCTGCCCATTCTCTACTCAAAGGTGGCATGGATACACATACCCCTTTTTGTTTGTTTTGCTTTTTTTCCCCCTTTTCTTTCAAGATTTGGGCCACATCTGGATTAATGTGTGCCATTTTTGCGCAGGCCCTGGGGCCGTGCTAGTGTTTTCTGTTCCAATTTGAATGGGTGTCCCGAAGGACATATAATCTGTAATCCCATGATATGGTCTGTTTTTTTGGCTACTCGATCTCTTTTGTGAATATGACGTGAACTCGGATGTTTTTTATTGTATATCCGAACCTTTTTCCTTTGCATTCACACGTGCTGGGCGTACTGAGCAGAAAAGCCTTGTGGCATCAAGCAGAAACGAACTGCAATTCCAGTGACACCTGGGAGAAACAAACCATTGGCCCCGTTCGGCAAAAAATGGGAAAGTAGATGAAATTGCTGCAGCAGATTGTGTGTGCATGTGTGTTGCTGCTGGTACTACGGTTCACTGTTTTTTATCGCCTTTTGCAGAGTCATCAAATGGCAGGAAAGCGTATAGCCAACCTCTGGTATTTTTGGTTTGAAATTCGTAATTGCGTGACAGTATTGCAGTGTTTGGTTGCAGGTGTTCTTTGGCCCCGGACAGGAGGAAGAGTCCGAACAGAAGAAAGGGGGACTCCGAGGGCGAAAGAAGAAAAGAAACAACAACAAGAAACAAGCCATGAAGCCATCCATTGCGATCGGCGTCCTTGTGGCTGTGGGGCTGGTCTTGCTCCTTGCATCCCCGTTGGAAGTCTCGGGTCACCACTATGCCTGCTGGTATAATACAGATCAGAATGCACATACCTACAAGAAAATCGATTGCAAGAAGAAACCCGCTGCCGCGAGCGTGGAAGGATGCCAGGAGATCTGCGACTCCCAGAGCAAGTGCCGGGGAATCGTCTATGCGGACTACAACTGGCCCAGCCACAAGTACTGCTGCTTCCTCAAGTCTACCATTGACGAGGACGCATTCAAGGATCAGCAAGACCGCGAGACTTGCAGGAAGGCATTCAATTGAGCGGGCTGCTGCAACCCCCTAGAGACAGTGTCCCTCTGTTTCTTGCAACTTGGGCCCATTATGCCGCCCATATCCCTCCACCATGAGCAGAGCTTGTCGCCGTCCTGTGGAGTCGCACAGCTTGCAGGGTCGCACAGTCTGCAGAGTCGCGCAGTCTGCAGGGTTAGCACAGTTTGGAGGGTTGCACTGTTAGCAGCGTTGCACAGCTAGCTGCAGCTTTGCACAGGTTGCAGGTCACACAGGTTGTTGCTCGCAAAGTTTATTCAGGTCATTCAGTTTGAGCTTGTGGATTGCTGGCTGACGGATTTGCTCGTGCTCGCGCGAGTAGGATCTGTCCGTTTTCAGTGGAGAAGAATCTGTTCTACGCAACAGCCGAAACTCTGTGAAATATTTGCTTGTGTGATGAATGAATTGTCATCACTGGGGTTTGAGGGGGTTTGCATCGTGTGTCAAACGCATGTTCCCTGTTCTGTTGTGGATGGATTTTGGTTTCCGGTTTCTTCGCTTTACCCCTTCATGGCTCACTATCTTGCATGGGTGTGCTCGGATCGGTGTATCTATCTCCTCTGAGCGCATTCTGAGACTGTTTGCGAAACAGTTTCTTCACTTTTCAGTTCAGATGGCTTGGGTGTTCCTCTCTTTACCCCTGGCTTGCTATCTTGCATGATGCGTCCGCAGGTGCAGCTCCCCGCCAATACATGGAGCCGCTGGAGGCCACTACTAGGGGGGTCTGCTCGCATGACCCCTTCTAGTAGACAGCCAAGCCTTTTTTTTTTTTTTTTTTTTTTTTTTTTTTTTTTTTTTTTT